TGATGCTTCCCCTTGACTGCAACCTTGCTCCTTGTCCCCCCACGACCACAGCAGTTCCACCACCTACCATTGGTCAGGAAGGTGCATCTTGCCTCTTGTTAGTTACCATCCTCTTCCCTGTTAGGCTTTGCTCCCTAAAAACAAGGATTGCGTTCCACTCAGTTCCCTGTTAACTCAGTGAATAAAACAAGGAAAAAATTCCTTGAATGAACTACAGAAAAAATAAGTTCTGAATTCAAGGCTTGTATTAAAGGCCAGACAGGGCCCCAGTGGTGGGCTTGTAAGGTCAAGGACAGCGCACTAGCAGGCCTGGAAGCTGCTGTTCCCATGTGCCATTGTGCCAGTTCTGCTGGAAGGAGTGATCTGATGGAAAGGAAAAGAATTAACTCGTGGCAAAACTCAGATGGGGCTGCCCTAGCCAAGGGTCAGGGCTTCTTTAAACCAGTCTGAGATACCAGAGGCTTTGATCATATGGAATGACTTGATAAAGCATTTAGGTTGGCTTTTCTAAAACAAATTTAGTCTCAGCCATTCCCTTGCTCAAAACCCTTCTCTAGCTCCCAGGTATCCTCAGCAGAATTTCCCAATCAGTGTGCCGTACACGGGTGACATTCCCTGAGCTTTGGGGCACTTGATTGGGGCCAGGGCAGCTGGAGCCCCTGGATCAGCCCTTCTGTCCATAAGCCACCCATGGGTTATTAGAACATCATTTTAATCTCGGAAATTGCATGGAGATGGTTGGAAAGCACCTATGCATAAATGGAAGACTTTCCAACCCATTCCCTGCTCACCTTCTAGCAGTTGCCCCATAGCATCCCATATTAACCAGCGCACTCTCTGGGTCATGCATAATCCAGTCTTGCCACCCTGTCTCCTCCCTCCATTCCTTGGTCCACATTGCTTCCCCAGACTCCCCACCTCCCTCCCCAGATTCCTGACCAGATCCCAGCCAGGCCCAGTGAGCGCCCCCACCCCAAGTCCCATTAATAAGCAGCACTCATCCTCAGTGACTGCAGTGATCACGTGGAATCCTAGTGGAGTGGGAGTCAGAAAAGGCCTGGCAAATGTTGCCCCTCCGGTAAATGTATGTTGACTAAGATCTTAAATGTACCCCATGAGACTGGGCAACAACGGGAAGAAAACCAAGTGCAAGTCAGCCTCCATTGGTCGGCACAGAGTAGACGCTCAATAAATAACTTGAATGAATGAAAGAAGAAAGGTAAAACCCATTTTAAGTGTGGAATCCGTGAGTCTCAGTGAAGACATGACGAGTAGAGAGAAGGAAGATGGAGTAGTTGGAGACATTTCAGAACAAGTCACACCATCAACACTACAGTTCTTGTACAACTTTGGAGGCATTTCCTGGCTAAATCCTCATGCCTTTGCCCAAGGAGACATGAATTGGGATCAGGATGTTCATTGAAGCAGCATTTTTTGATGGGGGTGGTTTGGGGTTTTTTGGGGGGGAACTGAGGATTAAACTCAGGGGCACTCGACCACTGAGACACATCCCCAGCCCTATTTTGCATTTTATTTAGAGACAGGCTCTCATTGACTTGCCTAGTGTCTCATCATTGCTGAGGCTGGCTTTGAACTCGCAATCCTCCTGATTCAGCCTACCAAGCTGCTGGGATTACAGGTGTGTACCACCACGCCCCGCTGCAGCATTGTTTATAACAGCAAAAACATAGGCCATAACCAAATATAGTTCAGGAGGGGAATACTCAAAAAAAAATTGTGGTATGTTTATAAAATGAATGAAGTAATTGCATATTTGAAATATTGACATGGTTAAATCTATTTTTTTAATACCAGTAAGTTTTTCCTTTATTTTTTTTCCCTATAGTTAACACAGGTAAATATACAGTGATACTGGGGCTGGGGATGTGGCTCAAGTGGTAGCGTGCTCGCCTGGCATGCGTGCAGCCTGGGTTCAATCCTCAGCACCACATACAAATAAAAATGTTGTGTCGGCCGAAAACTAAAATAAATAAATAAATAAATATTAAAAATTCTCTCTCTCTCTCTCTCTCTCTCTCTCTCTCTCTCTCTCTCTCTCTCTTTAAAAAAATATTGCTCTGTCTTCTCTCTTAAAAAAATATATACACACAGTGATACACAACCCAACATGATTAAATCTTAAAGAGATAACAGTGGGTGGAAAGGCAAGTCAAAATGGGAAATAGGTGATGCAGAACACCAAAACCAACGTATATTGGTTGTAGTCATATACATAGAGAATAAAAATATAAAACCAGGCATTGACATGAAGCACAACAACCATGGGAATCTGGTTGCCTCCGTGGAGGAGAGAAGGTAGGATAAGTTGGAAGATCTCTGAGTGGTGGGTATTTTTTACATTAGTTTCTGTGCGTTTTTTACATCAGTTTCTCTTAGTTTGAAATAACTTATCATTTTAAAAGTAAGTTAAAACCACATAATTAAAGTCTCGGTCACTGGGATAACAGACTTGTGTTTCTCCATTTAGTCCTCTGGACATTCTTTATCAAAGGCAACCGCAGCCCCCAGCTCCAGCTTCAGCCTGATTTTGTGGCCTGAGATGTCCTCTGTTCTTGACCCCACCCCTTTTCCAATAGTCTAGCAAACAGTGCTGGGTCACATCTGGCACTTAGGCTTAACAAGTCTTAGCACCATTTAAAAGTATCAGTTCTCAACTCAGCCCCCAGAGACAGGCAGATCTACCGTGGATCACTCTGGAGGCTTTAAAATGTTCATCTAGATCTTCTAAAATCCCCTCCCCCATTTTTTCTATATGTTGGAGTCTTGATCCAACCTAATTAGAATTAATTTTTGCAACAAGATATAATGAAATTCTCTTTCACACATTTGACTAGAGTCTATTTTTTGCATCAATCACCAGTGACTTACATCACAATGTTCTCTTTAACTTGTAAAGGTCTTTCCTTTTTCCCCGAAGAAGCAATCAAATAGTACATCTGTGGCAAATTTTACTGTTTCTAAAAATATGTCCATATTTGGGGAACAGTTTCAGTGGTGTGCTGGATCTTGCTCATATGGCTCAGGAGGGCCAGTTGTCTTGCATTCCTTCCCAGCTCCGTGTTCAATGACATCACACAACTCTCTTGAAATGACCCTAACTGGGGGTGTTTACACAATGGAAATTGGCATGCGCTTCTAATGAGGAGGTTTTGGTTTTCTCCAGTAGAGTTGTTAGGTAAAGGCTACCAGCCTATCACAAAGGGCATGCCAGTTCTCTGAGCAGTGTAGGGCAAGCAGCACTCTCCTCATTTGGCACATGTAGGAACTGAGAATCAGCCTTCCTTGGCTCTACAGGGTGTAGACTGGTAGGCGCTGCACTGGCCTTAAAGTCAGGCAGATCTGAATGAGTCTGATCTAGTGACTTTCAAACTGTGAGTTGGACAAGTGTCTGAGTCAGCCCCTCAGCCTCCCCACTGATAAACTAAGGATGATGATAATACCTTGTAAAGAGCTTGGGGGTTTTAAGGAAGTAGTATATGCAGAAGCCCTAATGAAGCCCAAAGGAGATAGATAAAATTGGCCTTCTGACTTGCGAATTCTTCCCATCACCATACATGTGTTTTAGTACAACTCTGTCAACCAAACACCCTTCACTCAATGGTGAATATACTTTTTCTCCAAATATGTGCCACTTGATTAAGTAAAAAGTCTTAGAGTCACCATTTATGTCTGACTTGGGGAAATCAGTCTTCCTACAGCCTTAGAAATGTATGTACCAGGTATCGACTGAGTTCATTTTTCAACCGCCTGGAGTTTGCTCCAGTGGCTGTTCTGCTGAGCTAAGCATCCTGAAGAGGATTGATTGGGGAGCCCCTGGGTGTAACCATTCCATCCGCCACACCGACTGCAGTGGCCTGCAGGGACATTCTCTTGGCTGTTCGTGTTCTCAGCTCTGGGCGTTCTCTGCACATTTGGACTGAACCTGTTGGTAGACAGCTGTTTCTAAGCCACTCGCCTAAGCCAAGATGTGCTTCCAATTAGATTTTAATTAATTGTAGAATTAATTAATTGGCCTGAGCAGTATATTTAGTTGTGCAAGCATTCTTAAAAATACCAAAGGATAAACAGTGGAAATTTCCCTCCCTGTACCATTCCCAATTCACCCAGATCCCTCCCCACAAAAACCCTAAGAAGGTGGGAAGGAGGAAGAATCCAGCTCCTATTATTAGTTTCTTGTGAGGCCAAAGACTTTAGAGCTCATCTTAAAGACCCAACATCAGCATGGCCTTCACCTGAAGTTGAAACACATGCTGGCTCCGCATGAGCCAGAGAAGACCCTCTGGCCATTGGAAACGCTGAGGCCAGAGCCACACTTGTCAATAATTGTTAAGCAGATTTGCAAAGACAAATAAAGTCACAGAGGAGCTGTTTCTGTCTGTAAAGATAAGTCGAACCTAGGCCACAGGTATCGGCCATACTGACTAAGAGTGTCCTACCTCCAGGGAAAAAGGCAGGGGGAATCGAGCACTTGTATAAAGGTACTGCTTGTCAAGAGCAAGCTGGGATCTTCACTGTCACTGTTGGGATAAAGCGTGCATAAGTTTGCCATTTTAACTACATTTATGGTGCAGTTCAGTGACTTGAAGTCCACGGCCTATTGTGGTGCGGCCATCACCACAGTCCAGCTCTAGAAGGGGCTAGGCACAGTCACCCACCCCACTGGTTCTCTCTGCAGCCCTGGGGGTCTTGGTGCTTCCTCGTACAATGAGAATGCCTCAGAGGGATGATTTATTCTCAGAGCAAGCACCTGGCAGAGCCCGGGTTGAACACTGGTATGTTTGTCCCCCAAAATGTACCCCGGATGGTGAAGCCTCACTGGGTGAGCTTTTGGAGGGAAAAAGCTCACTTATCCGTAGCAGTAGTTAGGCCTCTTCTCTATGCCACACACTGTCCCCGAGAGACTGTGGCTGTGCCAAGCAGGTATGTCTGTCTCTCTGTCTTACTGTTACCTTACTCTCCTATCCTATGCCATTGCCCAGGGGTGATTCTGCTGCTTCTGGACAAGCTGCGGAAGATGAAATGGGAGCAGATGTGGAGACTGACGGCAGAGAGGGAGCTCATGGGCATGCTGTCTACATCCTTGGCTGACCAGGTGAGTGGCCAGGTTAGAAGGGCTGTTATTCTGAGTGCCTTTGGGTAGGTCAGCATACAGCGTGTTGTCACCATAACAAATACCTGCAACGATTGGCTTATAAACAGGAAAGGTTTGTCTTGGCTCAAGAGTTTCTGAGGTGTCAGTCCTTGGTCTCTTGGCCACGTTGCCTAGGGCTTGTTGCATGGCAGCATGTCACAGCAGGAGCACGAGGAGGAACAGAGAAAGTCACTCACCTCCTGACCAAGATAAAAAAGAGAAGAGGAAGAGACCCAGGTCCCACAGTTTCCTTCAAGGGCACATCCTCAGGGGCCTAAAGACCTCCCCACTTGGCCCCACCCCTCAAAAGTTCCACCACCTCCAATGGAGTTCTGGGAGACTTGGGCTCAACCAGGCCTTTTAACACAGTCCAGATGCAAACTTGCTGCAGCCCACGTGCTGTTGCTCATGGAGACCTTAAAGCAGCTGGCTCTGGGTTATTTTGCCACCTGTTATGTGACTCCGAGGGAAAGAGCTGCCTTGGCCCTGCTCCCCTCACTAGTTCTTCTTTTGGTTCATTTGTTTGTTCATTTAGCATAGTACCCTGAGCACAGTAGATACCAGGGCCATGCTCAGGAGAGGGAGGACAGATGAATGAGGATGCAGCCCTTGGTCTCAGGGAGCTCATGGTTTTTTGAGGCAGGATCATAACTCGCTGTCAGTCCACTGTGCCTAGAGGAGGTCACTGTCTTCATCAGAGCCATGATAGGCCCCTGCTCCCCCTGGCCCCAGTGCACCACCACGTGTTTCCTAGTCAAGTTTTCATGCCTCCATGGCAAATAAGTCTAACCTGTCAGGCTGAGATCCTGTCCTGGTGACCCTGAACTTGAGGGAAGTACATTTAAGTGGGAAGAACAAACTTCCTGGCTCTAGAAACCTCCCTTTTATCCAGGCAACCTGAAAAGATCCTTGAACTCCGTCCATATCAACAGATATTCATAACAAAACCATTTCTCATTTTGACCAAGAAAGACAGGAGCCTCCAGTCTTTGACCTTGGTCACTATAGATTTTGACCTTGCTGGGGTGTTGGTGGCCGTCTTGGGAATGCAGAGATGATTCCTCTGCATTTTGTCATGTCACCTCCCCAAATCCATGGCGCTCATCTCCGTGCTTCTGTTCAAAGTTCAGTTGCCTGAATCCTCACGTAACTACGCAGTTTTCTAATACAGAGGAAACCAGATACTGTGCAGGGTAACTTTTCTATTTTTTAAGCATTGCTATTTGGGATTTCTCAGATAGCCAGAAACTGATTTCCTTTTTTCAACAATGAGATACAGTATAATGAATGAGTTAAAGAAAAAAAAAATACTTGGGTGCTCTCTGATGTCCTGAGAGGACATCATCCATTATCCTCATGTTGTAAGTCAGGTCACCAAGATTGAGTGTGTCCCCCAGAGCTAGCAATTGTGTGACTGTGTCCAGTGAGGATAGTCAGGTCAGCCAAGTCCTGTAGCAAAGGCCCATAACTCACCTCCTGGTGCCACCATCCATGCTGGTTAGTAAGTGTGGCCCCTGAGAGAGCTTGGAGAGGAGCCCAAAACAGGGGATTGGTCCAGAGACAAGGGAGACTTGGCCTTGAAAGGGGGGCTGCCTACTCTGGCCTTGTGGCCTGTAGGAGTAAGCAGCATCCATCACAAGCCCACCCAATGCCCCAGGAAAAAGCTGCTGGAAGGGAGGATCTATAATTTGTCTCAGCCCCTGGGTGAGTTGGGCCACTTGTCACCACATAGTTTCCTCCCTGGGAGGCTCAAATGGATAACTCTGGGCTCCTGGATAGGACAGTGGGGGGGGGGGGGGGAGGAAAAGAGACTTCATTTATTATATGCCAGGGAGCTAGGAAAGATGCTCCCTTGTCCACCCCCACGTGAGCTCCCTGCCTGATGCTCAGGCGGCCAGTCGGCCTGCGGCATCCCTATCTCCATCCAAACATCATTGCTTGGTTTCTGGAGATAACAGGCAAGAGAAGCGTCCTGGGTGCAAACTGTCCTGTGCCCAGGCAGGATGCCCAGGGCACCCTCCCACAGGGGACGTGCTGCCTCGGGAGCCAGAACCATAGGCCGAACCCGCTGCCTGCCTTGACCCCGCTTTGGCTCTTATTCCCCAGGATATTTTCAATGCCGTCATCAAGCAGAACCCCTTCCTGGTGTATCAGCTGCCCTGCTTCTGGAATGTGCAGCTGTCAGACCACACCCGCTCCGAGCAGTGCTACAGAGACGTGTCTGATCTAAAGGTAAGGTCAAGACAGGCCTCGCGGGGCGTGGGCCCCACCCCCAGGGGAAGGGTGAGGTGCCCTGGGGAGCAGAGGGAAGCTGCGTTGGGGGTTGAGGGGGCACAGATGGCTGTGAGGTTGGTGTGCAGCTTGGTGAAAGAGAGGGGGGCTCCGAAGTGTGTGTGTGTGCGCGTGTGTGTGTGTGTGTGTGTGTTTGGGCTTTCTGGAAAGCATAAAGACCTCTGGAGTAAGAACCAGCTTGTATGATTATTTTTCTTGCCATCTGCTGCCAGCTGTTTTGGTTCATGTCACCTCCCCAAATCCATTCATTTAAGTCAAGTGAAAAATAAGTGACAAAGTCCTACTCTGTGCCAGGCGCTGTAGATGCTGATGTGAATAACTTCCCTTTTCCAAGTCCCTTATGGCATAGAGGGAGTGAGAAATGCGTTAAGGACATAGGTGTAAAAAAAAAAAAAAAAGACAGCTACTGTGGTGCTTGTGGTAGGTGTGGGAGGATCAGACATGGGATGAAGCATACATCTCACTCCCCTTCCTTGAGAAGGGACCGTGACACAAGAATCTTCATCATGGCTCTCTTGGTACCGAGCACCGTGGTAGGATCTGTCTGTAGAGAAAAAGACAAGGTGCCTCAGTTATCTAGCACTATAGACAATGCTGCATAACGAGCCATTCTAATCGTGGCTCAAATGGACCACCATTTATTTAGTTGATGATTCTTCGCTTTGGATGGTTCTGATCTTCCCTGGCTTAACCAACTATCCATGGTCAACTTCAGTTCCAGAACCAGGAACTGAACACAGTCCTGACTAATTCTGATTTGCCTCTCTAGTAGTACCAGAGAAGGAGTAGATAACATACATCCCTAAAGAGTTTGCTTCCTTTAAAATTCACATTCATTGCCCGTGCACACTGTAAGAACCACCGTTTAAGTTTTTACAAAGAAAAAGGCTCTTTGTTAACAGTCAGGTTTCCAGTTGGCTCCTGGTCCTTGTGCGTGCCATGTCGTATCTGTGGTCATAATGTGCGTTGAATTCTCTTTCTGCCCTTACTTGTTTTGTATCATAAGCACTTTCTGGGTCAGCTGCACAGTACTAACACGTATGCCCACTAGTTCCATAATAACCCATGACTCAGCCACCTCCCTAACCCTTACTTGTTCTCACGTGTTCACAAATACAAATTGTGTTGTTATGAACAGCTTCCTTCTCTTTCCTTCTGTGTGTCTTCCTTCCCATGAGAGGAGTCACAGAGCCAAAAGAAAGAACTTTTGTTTTTTACTATATTTCACGTTTATTGCAAAAAATTAGAAAGTATTTAAAACAGAAATATCCACATCATTCATTCTTTCAACACATACGCAGTTCCTTGTATACCCTGTGTTCTTGTTAGACTTCCGGAAAACAGATGAAACAGGAATATTTTGATGAATACTGTGGACTAAGAAGTTTGGAGGGGAGGAAAATAAAACCATCCCCATAAAGGACACCTGAAAATGCTGGGTTAAAACTGGTTTTTTACACTGTTTTGAAAGCATAGATCTGTCTATGAAGTAAGGAAAACAGAGACCAGAAACCATGGTAGACTGCGAGTTCAAAAGGGTAAGATTTAAGCAAGGAGCCGCTGCCTAAAGCATTTGCCTCTGGGGTGATATGCTGCCCCCTGGTGGCTGGGAACATGGAATTAAAGGTAGTGTGGCATAAACCTGAAGTCGGCCTTTGTCCCTGGTTCCTGGAGCAGTCATTTTATAAAAACAGACACAAACAGGAATGCAAGAAAAGAAGGTGAAAATAAAAGCATAGGAAAAATTGGGCACAGAAAAGGTTAGAAATTGAGATGATAGAAGTAAGTCCAAATATATCAATAACCAAATAAATGTAAACTAATTGTGGTAATGAGAAGACCGATCTTCAGATTGAAGAGAAAATGTTATCTGGGATACACTGTTTACCAGCCACATACCCTTCTCATTGTAATCTGAAAAGGCTGACAGTAAAATTATGGGACAATATTATCAGGGGAAGTGTCTAAAAGGAAACAGGCTAGTTGTGTTGGTGTCAGAGAAACCATCAGTAGGGAGAGAGGTGGTCACACTTAAAAATAAAAAGTTAATAAGAAGGAAAAGACAAAAATTCAAATTTGGATGCACTTCATGCTGTAACACATGTGTCTTTAAATATATGTGTGTAGAGGTATGTAAATATATATACTTATGAATTTTCATATATTTTAACATAATTGTACCCACATACATGCAGATCACTAGAAAGAAGTGGACATATCTATTATTGTAGTAAAATATTTTAATGTGTCCTTTCCAAGTCCTGAAAGATCAAGCAAAAAGTTGATAAAAATATAGCAAAGGTGAAGTATACAGTTAACCACTTCACTTGGGCAAGTGAAGAACCTTGTATTTAAAAGTCAGACAATGTACATCCTTCTCAAACTCATATAGAACATTTGCAAAAATGTTACCATGTATAGGACTATAAAGCAAAATCCTAGTACATTTTACAGAATTATACTATATCATAGTTCTCTGAACAGAATATAATTAAATTAGAAGGCTATAACAATAAGATAAAAAATATGTATTTTATTAAAATTGAGAACCCATTTCTAAATTCCACATGGTTCTAAATGGAAATCATAATTGAAACTGAAAACTTCTTAGAGACTAAATGAAGATGAAATAATATGTGTCAAAATTAGTGGAATGAGTAAACATGTAGGGAAATAGAAAACCTTGAATGTTTGTATTAAGAGAAGAAAAAATGAAAAAATAATATGCCTGGTTTACCTCGGAGGATGATATACAAAGAACGTTGGAGCATATTCAAAGGAAACTAGAAGCAGGACATAAAGAAGGTAAGAGCAGAAATTGATTAACCAATTATTCAATAAAGTCAAAAGTTGGTTCTTTGACAGGGACCAATAATATAGACAAAGCTATGGCAGGACTTATCAAGAAAGAAAGAACTTACCAGGAAATGAATGGGGTGGCATGAATCCAGATTCATCGACGCTGTCTCTCACTGTGCCTGAGCCAGCAATTCTTCTGAGTTCTAGGAATACAGCAAAGATTAAATGCTCTGTCGGTTTGTGGAGCTTTCAACTCAATACATAAAGCAGAATAACAGAGACTATCAAATAATGTGAGCAACATTATGTCAATATACTTGAAAACTTACATGAAAGAGACAAATTCCTAGAAGTGTAGAATTTACCAAAACTGATTTAAATATATATATGTGTGTGTATGGGTGTGTATATGTTATAATGTTATATTACCACACTAAACCTCACCAAGAAAACAGTCCCTTTAGGTCTACAAAGAAATAATTCCTATCTTTTTTTTTTTAATCAAAAGATATTTCCAACCTTAAACTCTTCCAGAGAGTAGGAATAGAGAGATACATTTTAACCTGTTCAGTGAAACCGGAATGTTCTCAATACTGAAATTACACAAGGAGAGTTACAAAAAAGGAAAACTAGAGTCTAGTTTTGCTCATAAATACAGATGTACAAGTTCTTAGGCCAAATATTAGCAAACCACATGCAGTCATGTAGAAAATAGATACTATATCATGGCCAATTTGGGTTTATTCCGGGAAAGACAAGGGTGATCTAACATTTAAAAAAATTTACAAATATCATTGAGCATGTTAATAGATTAAAGAGAAACTCCATACAAACATCAAAATAGATGTAGAAAATTTATTTGATGAAATTAAACACTCATTCATGTTAAAAACTCATAAATAGTAACCACTAAAAATCTATTTCTCCTGAGCATTTGCTCTGGGGTGTGCCAGATGATTAATAGAACAGAGAATAGAGTCCAGGAACACCCACACACTTATGGAAACTTGACATGGGAAGAGATGGCATTGCTGATCCTTGGAGAAAGGATTACATTTTTCATAAATGATGTTTAGACACCAGATTCTCCATATGGAAGAAAAAATTAAAATGAATCCCTGTCTCACACCATGCACAAAATATCCATGGATTATAGACTTTAAACCAAATTGAACTGTTATCTTAAAGGGGGTCTGGAGGATAGTCCTAAGACCTCAGAATAGGAAAGAAGTTATTTAACAAGACACCAGGACACCACCATTCCGTGCTGGGCTTTAATTGTCAGTTAAAACAAAAATCAGAACAAATTAATCTTTATTAACTCTCCTTTCATCTATAAGTCGTATTTCTGGGTCTGCTGATTGAGTGCGTTATCTGGCATTAAACACCCCCATTATGCATTTTGTAGGGTTATCAGGGTCCTTTTCTTTAAAGTGGAGCAAGAACTATAAGACCTTGCAAAGCAATTAGAGGGCACCCTTGAGTTATTTTTTTTCCCTCCCATTCTTTTGGATCACCCACACCTAATGGAAGGGAAATGTTTTTAGGGATTTATATTCCTTGAGTCATTGCAAAGCACTTAGCTTGCCTCTCATGAAAACACAAACTGTTTTTGCACTTACACATCACTAATTCAAATAGTGTTTAATTGGATTTCCAATTATATGAGAAACACAGGAATAAAAACACCTTTAGTAGCCAACACACCTCACTCCTAATACGCATAGAGCTCAGCATACTGCAGCAGATCCTTTCAGATCCTGCTAGGGACAAGATCCTTTCAGATTCTGCTAGGGACAAGCTTCCTAGCCGTGAGCATCTCGCCTACTTGGGTGCCATTCGAGAACTTTGTACTGAGGTCAGTTAAGGAAACGCGTTTTCGTTGAAGAGGCGGAAGAAGTGCATAGTCTATTGGAGCCAAGCAATTCTGTAAATTCTAATGACAGTTCTACTTCGTACCAGCTGAGGGACTTGAATAAATCACTTAAGATCTTCCAGTAATGGAGACCATTATTCTTGGCCCCAATCTCAGCCAGGCCTCTTGAGGGCTCCTAGAAAGAGCACTCGACTTTACCACTGTCTTTTGTGTTTCAAAGACCTTCAATTTTATCTCTGCAGTTCTAAGCCTTAATGACTCAGCC